AACCTCTGATATTCTAAATGGTTCCCCACCGGTGAAGTACATAATTAGAATCAAAAGCTTGTTTAGCTTATGGAAATTGTTTTGGAGAATATTCCGTATATCCTTTTGGTCAAGATTCTTGAATGGTAAGTACGGCCTATATTCATTTACTGGAAGCAAGCAGCCATTTTGAGAGTAAAAATTTGGATCATAGTTATCGTCGATAAATTTCCCTAAATTGAATCCGTCAACTAATATTGGCTTCAAAGTATCCATAAACCGTTGAACAAGAAATACCGTCAAACGCGGAATATCGGACAAATGTATCTCCGTCTCCTTATAAAGCATTTGTGTGTACTTTTGTGTAAAATAAACATCATAAAAATTAGGAGAATTGTGAGTAAACTGAAATAATCTACTCTTTATGCCTTTTATAATCTTAAAAATAGTTGTGTACCCCGCATGAGCTGTGAAATAGGTTTGAAACATTAACTCCAAGTTCTTGTTGTGCAAGGAACATCGGTGAATTAACTCTAATTTCATGCAATGCTGAACTGCATCAAAAATATGCTGAATTCCATTTTGATCCTTAATTCCAAAGTCAACTGGTTCTATATGATTTAACAACAAAGCTGTAATAAAGCAATTTTTCCGAAACTCAAAATTAGAAGAATTTATTTTCTTGAATATGATATTTTCCGAAATATATTCCATTGTATTATCTATGCTTCCTATTTCTTCCACATCCTTGGAAAGAGAGTCTTCCTGAAAATATTTCAATTTTTGAAGCATGAAGGCTGTATATATTACTTTAAAAAATATGTTAGAATAGATAACAACTGTGGCTCTTTCAACTTTCCTGTATTTTTTATGTAAAACTATTCCCACATACGGATTACTTTTGCACTCCTCACTTATTTGTTGCATTCTATCTATTAAATAGTTTCTCGCTATATCCATATTATCAGTGGAATGTTTAGGGGAATATAACAAATGTTCAAAATCTTTCAGATATATATCAATTATGTTTTCTTGAAACTTCATATCATTCAAATATTTGTTCCCAAAGCTACTATTTTCAACTAAAGTTCTGGTCATGTGGGGTTTGTCTAATAATAAAGCTATTGGTCGAGGAATCTCTTTGAATACGTTAGACAGGATAAGGAGTACATAACCCGGATATAAGTAATGCGCTTTGTATCTTTCTTTGGACCCTCTGAAGTAGCAGTATTTCTCAGATTCACCATTTCCAAATTTATGAACTTTTTTGATATAGCCTCGTGAACATCTTCCACAAAGTGGGCAGCGAACAATGCTATAAATTATTGCATTTTCAAGAGGCTTTGGTAATGTTTGTCCAAAATAATTTCTTGTATTGATATTTCTAAAAATATACTGTTTCATATGGTGATATGGTATTATACTTTTTTGATTTTTGAATAGCTTGATAAATCTCTCGGAAAAGATTCCTACCATTTCACCATCTTTTAGTAAGATATTTGCCCAATTATCTTTTCTCATTCCAAGGTTCTTAAGGAGATTGTCAACAGTTCTCTTTTCTTCTTCTGCAGTGAGCCCAAGAGGGTTCCTTGGATCATAGGCATCTATATTAGATCTTTGTAAGCCACATGCAAGGTCTCTATCATGAAGTGGTTGTTGAGGAATGTTTTCCTCGATTCTTTCACTTTCTTGAAATAATTTTGAAAAGCTTGAGGTAATTGGATATGAAACATCGTTATTCAAATCATTCGGATAGTCGCTGTTCTCTGTATATTCAGTACCTGGGGAAAGGCGAGTTTCAGTGATAGTAGATTCCAGGGCTGCCTGATTTAGCTCTGTCGATGGATTTGGAAGATTCATCATCTCTGAATTTGGTTGTATACTGATTTCGAGGCTTCCGGCGGCTTCTATCCCATTATTTTCTTGAGGCATATTTTCTAATTGTGGCAGTATATTGTCTCCAACCTCATCATAAGGAATTAAAGGCGATAAATGTGAGCAATTCTTGTGTACTTTTCTAGTTTCATTAGTTTCAATCTGTAAAAAGGGCAGTTTTGGCTCTATATTAACCAAATAAGGCTGTTTCTTATTCTTTCTTCGACATTTCTTGCATGTTCTAAATTGACTAGCTGTCTTTTTTACCTTACCACATCCACTACAGATACTCATCTCAATAATAGTCTCTAAAAGGTTGGTGTGCTTAAATAAGTAGAGAATACGAAGTGATTTTAGATTTGATAATTTATCCAAAAGGGTGTAATTATATGGCAGCTAGCACGCGTTTAGAATAAATTGAAACTAGCAACCCGCATTTGGCATAATTCGAAATTAACAACTGCACTTAGTATAATTCAATGTTGACAACCCTCGGGCA